AAACTTTACAGTTTTGTTCCTATCTATATTCTGAAAAGGGGTTTGTTCGTATATCATTTGACTAATTTATATAACATTTATTCCTAAGAACATGGTGAATGTTTTTTTTTGTTTTTTTGGCTGTTAACTGCATCCATTCTAATTTATGGTGTGACAAAAAAAAACACCTGAAATCCCCTTTGACTCTTAATATGTCAACAAAATGAAAATAATTTTGTACCCGACTTTATCCAATGTTTAAATTCGTGCATATATAATTAGATAATGCCTTATTTTCACATTTAAACAACATTTAAGAAAACTTGTAATACCAAAAAAATGTGCAATTCTTAATCAACTGGGGAAGTATAGCAATATCTATTACATTTTTACCTTATTCACCTGGCATGTATTGCCTTAAGAGATTATTAATTAAATGTACTATTTTATTTAAATTAAACCAATAAATAATACATCAATTATTAAATATAACCATTTGCTTTTGTAGGATGCCAGGAAAACAGCAGTGTTTATTTGAAATAATACTTTACATTTATTTCATGTACCATTTCACTAGATAGGGCTCATGTTTAATCTATAAATATAAATATTCAGATATGGTGATGAGCATTATTCTAAAGATTATTTCAAGAAATCTTTCTTGAGAAAATAATTTGTTTGTGGCTGGTATGTTCTCCTCTAGATCTGCCCATGCAGCTGAACGCAGCTCTGTTCGAGGCTAATGGTCATTGTGGTTATGTGCTGAAGCCCCCGGTCCTGTGGGAGCGAAGTTGCCCTCTCTATCAGCAATTTTACCCTCTGGATCGAGACCTGGAGAGGATGACCCCCACGCTCTACACTCTCACTGTAAGTATCCCATAGTCAGAAACTCAAAACTACTCTTAGCTAATCTAACAGACATGAATTAATTCATGTGCACACAGATTGTGTCGGGACAGAATGTGTGTCCGGGGAACTCGAACGGAAGTCCCTGTGTGGAAGTGGAGGTGTTGGGCATGCCGGCAGACAGCTGCCATTTCCGCACCAAGCCTATACACCGCAACACACTCAATCCCATGTGGAATGAGCACTTCCAGTTTCATGTGCACTTCGAGGATATGGCATTTCTGCGCATTGCTGTCATGGAGAACAACAGCTCACAGGTCACCGCTCAGCGGATACTGCCCCTCAAAACCCTCAAACCAGGTAAAGAACTCCTAATAGGAGCATAGTGTAATTACTGCTGTGCTGATTATTAATCGACGACTGCAGCCTGCTTTATAGATGATCTTCAAAATATGCATTTTGTATA